GGCCAAGGTCGGCTTATGTAATTTTTTTCCCTGTAATATGCTTTATTTATTTCAAGTTTCGAAAACATCGTGAAAATAACGTTTATTTACTACTAATACTTACTTGAACTAATAAAGGGACAATAGTAACACTGTACATGATGATAATTATGGCAGTAAATAAAAATATTGCGTGATTACGATGGTATGGTAAATGTGGTGATTGATAATTTGATGATAGTATTAAAGATAATAGAAACAAAATAATTATTGTTATTATTATAATCATAATATTCAATAATTAATGATAATGATAATAATAATGATAATAAAGATGATAATAACAAAACAGTAATAACAACAAACAACAAATGGACCCATAACACCAACAACCACCGATAATCCCAACCAATAACAACGAGCATAATCCTACCAACAACAACAACAAAAAAGAAAGAAAAAAAATTTGCAAAATCATTTCGGGAAAAAAAGAAAAAGGACAACAAAAAAAAATTACCAAATCATTTTCGGGAAAAAATCGTGTTTATTCAGAAAGGTTCGATCGTCACTCGGTCCGGGTNATATATATGTTTATATGCAATATATGTATATATATAGTTTATATTACATATGTATATATTCATATGTATATATATGTGTACGTGTGTTATGTATGTACATTATATGTAGAAAGGGTATGAATGGGAATGAAATATTTTCACAATATATTGACATGTATTTGACCGGTTTCGAATACATTGTAAGAAATACATACATTAGAGAAAATATATAGCATAATTATAGTACATGGCTTGATGAACCACCAGACGCATTTTGTTGTCTCGTACTGGTCACGTTGATTAATTGCGGGGAACCCATCCGGACGTTCATCAGGGTTTCTATGTTAAAGATTTTTAAAAAACTGTTAGTTTTTTATTTTGTTAAATCCCTTTTTATGTTAATTTATATAAAATCCCCACAGATGGAGAAATTCTGGGCCGTCGAGAGGGTCGGCCGGCTCCATGATAAGTACGATACGAACTTCGCTGACCATAAGCACCCACTCATTACGCCTCGCTGAGCTGTGTGTGGGAGCTTCGGCTTCTTTCGAGTCCGCTGGGGAAGAGTTACCACAGGTCAGCTGGTCTTGCCAGGGCTCCCCCCTCTGAGCGCAGTCCAGCTCTCTTGGAGCCGCTGGAAAGGGACCACTGGCAGGATGTAAGCTCTCAACTTGGCTTTCGTTACTGGATGATGTCTTCGTCGCCAGAAGGTCGTGTC